CCTTATTATTATATTGGCTATTTTTTGGTTGCAGCCATCATTGTTGTTTGGCGGGTCCGGGCTGGGGATTCGAACCCACCACCTTAGGTGTATGTGGCTGGTGCCTTGGCCCATTGAGCTATAGGCGCCAAGCCTAAAAGAAATTTTTTAAACTTTTATGTTTTCACCTGTAATTTGGCTTCGGTTTTTTAATCAGAATTCTTTAAAAATGCTATAAACATACCTTCTTCTTCACTTGTCTCTTCACTATCAGGTTTAGGTTGAGGCCACTGGAAACCCGGCAGAAAGGCACCTTCATACAACTTCACCAGGTCGATCAAGGGCAGCTCAGCTGGAGGGGTGGTAGAAAGGAAGGCTGTAATTCCTAAGGAGACACCTAACTAGGAAAAGCAACACCTAACGCAAGAAGTACAAAGGGGATCCTTGGCATACACATTTCTTTTCCTGGCTTTAGGTCATTCCTTAGAAAAAGAATATATTTTCTAACAGCACATTTACTTTTAAAAAATTTTGCCTGTTAGTGATACTTTATTAAAAAAAAACCTTAACTTTTGTAAAATGAAAAATCTCTCAAATGAAAAATTCGATTCTGGCTCGGCACCTGTAGCACAATGGTTATGGAGCCAGCCACATACACTGAGGGTGGCAGCTTCAAACCCAGCCCAGGCCAGGTAAACAACACTAACAAATGGAACAAAAAATAGCCAGGCACTGGCTTGGCGCCAGTAGCTCAGGTGGCTAGTGTGCCAGCCACACACATTGGAGCTGGCAGGTTTGAATCTAGCCTGGGCCAAAAAATAGCTGGGCATTGTGGCAGGCGCCTATAGTCCCAGCTACTTGGGAGGCTGAGGGAACAGAATCACTTGGGCCTAGGAGTTTGAGGTTACTGTGAGCTGTGATGCCACAGCACTCTACCAAGTGGGACATAACGAGATTCTGTCTCAATAAAAAACAAAAAAACTCAATCCTATTCATAAAAAATCAAAAAGTTCTGAAATCTTATAGTAAGTGTACAGTAACAGTACAGACTAATAAAAAATACATAAACAATGAATATCACAGACAGAAAATAACTGATACCCAAAGAAAGGAAAGAAAAATGTTCAAAAAGAATGACGAAATTGGCTCGGCGCCTGTGGCTCAAGCGGCTGAGGCGCCAGCCACATACACCTAAGGTGGCGGGTTCGAATCCCCA